GAGTGGACTTTTTTTTTTAAAAAAAAAAAAAAAAAAAAGTACTGTAAGTTTTCCACATTACTCAGCAGCAGCCTCATAGACCTCCTGTTTACCACATCTTGATTCCATCAAGGGGCTACACCAAGTGGCTGTGTAAGTACACTCTGTGATGGCTGCACAACAGTGAAATCACCCAAGGATGCATTCTGCAACAGACAACTATACAACGAAGGGTCTAAAATCAGTACTCTGGCCTACGAGAAAGACCACAGAAACATGTTAACCAATTTTCATTGTCATTATGCAACAGCCAAGTAAGTACACTGGCCCATTTTTGTTCAGCACACAAAATGAGGGCTAATATCTGAAACATGAGAAGTAACATGGAGGCAAACCTGTCACCCACAATACAATTCAATGAGAGCTGTTTAGCAATATAAAAGTTTGAAATATTAAGTAAAGATTACTGAAAGTATTCAAGCAGGGGTTTAATTACGTGTCTGGACTGCTCTAGCCTGAAATATCACTTGACCTCAGTAAAATTATGTGAACCAGAAAAATTTCCTGATTTTCCCGCTATCTCTCCTAGTCTTCTTTTTATCTTGCTCTAAAACCTACTTGAAATGCTTGGCACATACACTTTTGTAAGCAAAATAAAACTGCTATCTACTTTTCTAAATTTAAGGCCCACCTTGCTATTGAATCTGGAGTAAAATCCTACCTTAAGTTCAATGAGTTTTCCAATTAAAATACCAACAAAAAACAACACAAGCCTATTCTTTAGTAATATCAATTTCTTTCCACTCATGCCCCCTTTCTATGGTCACTAATATTACAAATAGCTGCAGTCAGGGCTGGGGATTTAGCTCAGTGGTTCCGCTGCCTGCCTTGCAAGCACGAGGGCCTGAGTTCGATCCCCGGTACAAAAAAAAAAAAAAAAAAAAAAAAAAAAAAAAAAAAAAAAAAAAAAAAAAAAAAAAAAAAGCTGCAGTCAATCTGAAATTTATCCTCTACCTGAAATGTAAGCAGCAACAGCTTTGCTATTACCTTTCCATCTCTTTTTCACTGCCAACAACTGGAAGATCAATTGTATTACATGCTATATTATAAATGACTGGGTCACTTAAGACAACGTCCTAGTTCCACAATAACAAATCTATAAAATAAGCCAAGTGCCTGGAATTTTACAACAGGCTTCTTAATGATACCCTTGCCTCCTTTGTGTATGTGCGTATGTATGGTACTGAGGATTGAACTCAGGGCCTTAATACTAAATTATATCCCTAGCCCTTTTACTAGCTTTTGTTTTGTTTTGTTTTGAGACAGGGTCTTGCTAAGTTGCCCACGTGGGGCCCGTACCTGTGATCCTCATCCCTTAGACTCCCAGAGTACTGAGATGGAAGGGGGAAGGGCCCAGCTCTGTCTCCAATTTTATTTCTCTATACTCTTGGCTACCAGGCAGACAAAATGGCCCTTTAAAAACACAGTGGATTGTGTCATTGCCCTACATCAATAAATACTAATAACAGTAACAGCTAACATTTATAGGTCACTTACTATGTGCCAGGCTCAACTTTAAACACTTTACATGTATTAAATAATCCAATAATCACAACAGTATGAGACAGGTACCAGCTGTGGTTAGAATGTTTGTCCTTTGGCCTACACATTCCCTTTACTCCTGGTAAATAAATGTCCTCATCTCCACTCTCATTTTAAGGCTTCATCTTCACTTACACTAGATTATTCCTCAAAGAGACTAAACACTGTGCTTCCTATTTAGGATTCTGTGCTTGTAATCTCCAGCTCAGGTTAATTTAGGCCAAAAAGGCAACTTAGAAGAAAATCAGGTTACTCATAGATAGAAATAAGAAGCTAGAGAACCAGATATGTAAACAAGACTTCCAGGCAACCAAGAAAACCCAACCACATCAGCGGGGTACTGTCAAGGACACCAATATCACTAGGATGAAGTAGTTATTTTTCTTCAGTTCTGGGGTTAAAACCCAAGGCCTCATGGATGCTAGGCAAGTGCCCTACCACTGCACCACACTGTCAGTGCCACCCCCCTTTTCTGGAAGGAGGGTTTTGACTTGCTATGCAGTTCAGACTAGCCTTGAACTAATTAGGTGGGCTAAGCTATCCTGGAATTCACAATGATTTTCCTGCCTCAGCTTCCCAAGTGCTGGGATTACTGCCATGTGTTACCACACCTGCTTCTCGGCCCTTAATTTTCAAAAAAAGTTTTGTTCTTACTAGATTCAAAGCTCTAGTACAGAGATCTGCCTGCCACAATGGCATCATATAACTGATCTTCTGCTATGTTTTCTAAAAGTATCTTGACTAGGAATGTTTACACTAATACTACACATTGTGTATGGAAGATGAAATTTCCCGAAAGAAAACCAGTGTTATTTAGTTGAAGATAGTATACTACTCTACCCTCCCCAGCCAAACATACTACTGTAACTGCCTAAGGACCCTTGGATAGTTACGGCTCTGCTTTGATTAAATGCCTAGGCAAGGCTCAAGTTTGCAATTCTCCTGCCTTAAAAATACTGGGATTATAGGAATGTGCCACTATACCCAGCTTCATCTCTTCTAAAGTAGTTTTCCCCTGCTATCCACTATCCCTTCCACCAATTACTGGCACACCACCTATTTAATTTCTTCATGGCATTTTGCACAGTGCCTTCCTTATTTGTTTATCATCTGTTATTCCCCAGTAGGTTACAGAATAGGCCTGTGTGTGTTTGACCATCAAAGATAAATAATGGTAGGCAGCATGATCTTTTTAAAAGACAAATCACCTGATGTTGCTTCATAGTTGAATATCCTACAATGCTTCCCACAACAATTAGATCAGATGTAAGTATCTACTACAGCATGGCCCATATCTACTTTGCTGGTTCCAGCCTTTTTAGTTTTGTTGCTGCTGCTTTAGATTTTTGAAGCAGAGGTCTTACCATGCTCCCAGCTGGCTCAGAACTTGAGATCTTTTTATGCCTGTCTTCAGAGTCCTGGGACTATAGACATGGGCCACTATACCACCTTAACACCAGCCAGCCTTTGGACAGTTCCTAGTACAAATCAAACTCTCACTTGAGTCTGTGGCTGGAATATTTTACCATGGGCTCTCAATTATTAATTATTATTTTCCCCAGAGATCAGGGTCTCATTATATAGTTCAGGTTGGTCTTGAGTCACTACGTAGCCCAGGCTGGCCTCAAACTTGCAGCAATCCTCCTGCCTCAGCCTCTGGAGTAGCTGGGATTATAGGAATGTACCAGCACACCCAGACAAACTTAGTTTTTTCTTGCTTATCTCAATTATGAGACTTTCCCCCTTGAGGCCAGAAGTAAATCTGCATTATAAATCTATTATAATGCCTACTACCAACTCAGACTCAAGTATCTATGAAGCGGGGGATTGGTATTTTCTCAGATATTTTTTTAAAGAAAAACTATCCCTCTCCTCTAGCCAAGGTAAGATATTTCTATAATTTTCTAAACCTCTTTCCAAAAACAGACCAGAAAAATTTCTTTTTATTATGGACAATTTATTTTTACAGCTAAAGAAAAAGAAGACCAACACTCTTAGGAGGAGTATTAAGGCATGAAATAGGAAAAGGTATTTTTAAAAGACACTAGCCAGGGATTTAGCTCAGTGGTTCTGCTGCCAGCCTTGCAAGCGTAAGGACCCGTGTTCGATCTCTGGTACCAAAATAAAAAAAAATAAAAAATAAAAAAGATACTGAACATGACTTAGGATCAATACCTGATCTGTCCCCTCGATTAGGTTTTTAAAATATAAGATACAATACTGTCATATCACTACCATAACCATGTACCTACCGATTAATGATGAGTATTCGGTCCTCTTTTATATCATACATTGTAGAAAATCTAATATGACTTCATCATAAGCAAGTCCTACTTACCAAGTGCTCTGGCTACTGCCAGAAAAGGAATCTGGTCAATAACTGTGCTCCTTCTCACAGGTCCACTATGAGAGAGCCGAGGCCTCTTCCAAACTACACGGTTCACTCCAGACTTGTTCATGACACTAAAAAAAAAACAAAACAGGTTCACATAAATATTCTATTTCCATGTGTTCAATAACTAGTAAAATAAGGTTATATTATCATAAAATAAGGACATCTTATAAGGATGCATAAGCCACAGTTCTGTTCAGAAAGGAAAAAGAAAACAGGACAAAAACAAGCAAACAAATGAAACAAACCCAGGGCAAGATTAAACCAAACATGGTGGCACACACCTGTAACCCCATCACTCTGGGATGCTGAGCCAGGAGGATGCTAAATTCGAGCCTATCCCAGGAAACTTAGCAGGACCTTGCTTCAAAATTTAAAAAGGGGGTTGGGGGTTGCTGGGGATGTAGTTCAGTGCAAATGCCCTGGGTTCAATACTAAGTACCACCACCACCGATAAAAAGAGTAAGTTACATGAGGAAGGGCAGAGAGTCAACTAATCTCAGCCAGATAAAACTACATAGAAGCAATATAAAGAAAACTGAGTACATATCAGGTCAAAGAGAAAAGATGTCTTAATGACTTTAAATAACTAAGGAGAGGAAAAGAGCACCAATAAATCAGGAGATACTAAATAGTAATAAAAGAAATTTAAAAGGAAAGGTTAAAGCCGGGCATGGTGACACATGCTTGCAAATCTCAGCACTCTGAGAAGCTGAGGCAGAAGGATCACCAATTTTGAACCCAGCCTACGCAACTTACAGACCGACCCTGTATCCAAAGAAAAGGAAAGAATTTATGGAAATTTCTTTGGGAATGGGGGAAGGTTTTCATATTTTTATACTGAAGAATCAGTAGGATATAACTCAAGAGAAATATCTATATACATATTTAAATATTTTTGTAATTTGAAGTGTACGACTAGACTTTGGGAAACATATCAGCTATCAGCTATATAGACATACATCTGAGAGAGAGTAAGAAATCCTCCTAAAAATTTGCAATAGGAATAACAAAAATATGTAATTAGTACATACTCCAAAGTATCTAACCCTTGAAAATATGGTTTTGGGGGGGTACCGGGGATCGAACTCAGGTCCTTGTGATTGTGAGGCAAGCACCAGAACCACTGAGCTAAATCCCCAGCCCTATATGGTTAATTATTTGGGGGGAAAAAAACTCTCAAAATGTAAGAGAGACAATTTTTCAATCTATTTCTAGCATGACTAAAATGAGACAGGTATAAAAGAAAAGTAATCCCTTAGTCAATATAATCCCAACTTCTCTGTTATTTTTCCCCCTAATGTCAATACAGAAATAGCATTCCTGGAAGGCTAAAAAAGATGAGGGAAAGAGTTGCCAAAAAGCCTCTTTCTGAGAAACAGTAAGTATTAAGTCTACCTGACATTAGGTCTAGCTGACAAAACATGCTGATTCCCAAAACTGTGAGATAGAGCCCATTAGAATATCTAATTAAGCCCAGGTATGATGGCCCAGGCCTATAATCCAACACTCTGGGAGGCTGAGCTAGGAGGATTACAAATTTGAGCCCAGCCCGGGCAATTTAGCAGCTTGGCGAGATCCTGTCTGGGAAAAAAAAAAAAAAAAAAAGAAAAAGAGAAAAGAGATAACTAACGAAGTCCCTTTATTTAGGTCCCATAAGCACCCAGAAACCCTTTCATTATAATCTGAATAATCTACAAAGATAGCCTACTGCTGTGGCAGATGTCCATAATTCCAGCTACTTGGGAGACTGAGGAAGACTGAGGACTGCAAGTTCAAGGCCAGCGTGGGCAACTTAGTAAGAACTTGTCTCGAAAAATTTTTAAAAGGGGACAAATGACTGCAGATATAGCTCAGCATTCCTTGGGTACAATTGCCACTACTACAAAAAAATGGAAAACTGAAGACAGGAAAGATCAGATAACAGCGACTGCCTCAGAAGCAAAGGCACTGTGAAATGCCTTCCACTTAAGGCACAGTCAGCCAGTTCATCTCTGTTAAGACAGTAAAGTAAAGGAATGAAATGAATACAGAATGATCCAAAAATGTAGATGTTAATGTAGAAGAGTAATTCCAGAAAAGTGCTTATGTACCATCCTTCTTGGGAACTACTTTAATTTTCAGTTCTTATTCTATTATTATTATTGGTACTGAGATTGAATCCAGGGCCTTCACACTGAGCTACACCCCAGCAGGCTGAGTTTGAATTTATAATCCTCCTGCCTCAGGCCTCAGGAGTGGTGAGATTACAGGAGTGTGCCACGATGCCCAGATTAATTCTCAGTTCTGAAGGCAACATCTAAGTCATAACAAGAGTTACAGTATCAAAGGCATTTTATTACATTATGCTTTCTTCAATGCTGATCCTTAAAAAGGAAACAGCAGTGTGAAGTGAATCTGCCATTCAGTAGAGTCTATGAAACATAAGAGTAAGGATAAGGTTTTCTATTCTGCCTTCATATCATCTTAAAAACCCTATTGTTCTTTCCTAAACCTGCTCCCTAAAAGGTAATGCTTAGTAATATTTAAATAATTACTGTTGGGGAGGGGAGGAGGGGGTAAAGGGAGGGTGGGGACAAGGGGAAAAAATGAGAACCAAGACCTGGCATGCAAAGGTACAGGATCCCAATAATGAATGTAACTGTACTGTCTACCTAGAATGTACCAATAAATTCAATTTAAAATTTAAAAAAAAGAATAATTACTGTAGCTGTTTCTAATATAAGAGAGCTACTAGGAACTCTTGATACTCAATATTTAAGGATATTTTAGTTATGTTTCTGAGGAACTAAAAGACAAATAATGGTACCAGTTAAACATACAAGTTTATGCAGTGTCAAAAAACAAAATAATGCCAAACATAGTGGTACATGCCTGTAATCCCAAATTAAAGCCCAGCCCAGGCAGTACAGTGACTTAGTCAGGCACTGCTTCTACATACATACAAAGGGCTGGGATGCACCTCAATTCAAAGGGCCTAGCTTCAATCTTGGTGGGGGGAGAAGAGGAAGGAGGAGGAAGAGGAGGAGAGAAGAGAGAAGGAAGGCAAGAGAGAGAATGAGTGAGTTGTAAAACATGCTGCTTTTCCTGCACTCCCTGCTGCTGCCCTATACAATTAAAAGGCATATAAAAAGGAATAGCCTGACATGAAGAAAGCTGACAGAGCAGCAACAGAAGGCTGCAAAAACAGAGCACTGGCCAATTGCCTAGGTTGGGACACAGGGAGGTGAGGAAATAACTTACCATAAAATGGCTCAATTTTTGCAAAAAGACACCTGCTCCCAAATGGCAAAGAGCAGCTGTCCAACTGTCCAGATGGTATTTTCATGATAACGCCAAAAACATAAACTCTTTATTATTAGTTATTAAAATCAAGGAAAATATAAATTTTAAGTTGAAAAAGAAAGAAGTAGAAGCCCAAAGTTATTTTTTAAGTAAGATTGATGAGAAGTGATTGGGCCTACCAATATTTTTAAAGTATGATAATGGGGCTGAGGACGTAGTTTAGTGGCAGAGCTTGCCTGGAATGTCTGCCACGTCCTGGGTTCAATTCCTAGCATTGCCAAAAAGATAAAAAAATCATAATAATGTCTCAGTTTTTAAAATTATGGTACTAGTAAATGACAGGAAAAAACAACCCAAAAAAGAACCAAGCATATGCAGTAATTCTATTTATAATTACAAAGCCCACTTGCACAGCTCCTAATAAAGGTCTTAGATATAAGCTGAGCATCATCTGTGTGATTAAGTAGACTATAACCTGAACTCAACACTGCAGGATATAGGACAGGAAGTACAGCATGACGACCTCAGGAATACTATCTTCATCAGGGCCAGTCTGTACTACAGATGGAGTTCGAGGCCAGCCTAAACTATATAGTGAGACAGTGTCTCAAGCAAACAAGGAATACTGTCTTCAGAAGTGATTCTTAGGATATCCGGGAGCCATTTTCTAGCCCTCCAAATGATTGCTCAGGTATAAATAAACAAGGCCACATGGTCTAACAGTAAATATGTTTTACATGCCACAGGAATCAGTGTCTTGTAAACAGCCCCCAGCTATAGCTGCCTGGTCCCTACACAGGTCAAATTCCATGCATAGAAGAAAACCAATGTTTTTGCTTCAGACAGAAATTTATACTCTATTCAAAGTCTTCCCTTCACAGATACAGTTCCATTCGAGGCTCATTCTAAAATAAGCAATTTGCCTACAAAAGAGCTGATATTCTGTGTTTATGTGACCCAGAGAAACAGTGTAAAAACAGGGCAGACTCAAGGCCTTTTTCCCACTAAAGGATTTTATACCTGATCAGCATTTTAATCAGGAAGGAAAAGGTGTACAATTGTTCAGGTGGCTATCAGTAACCATCTAGGAAAAAAAGAAATTAACTTGTATCCCTACCACACTGCTTAGATTTTGAAATTCCAAAAGAACTGAAGAGTAAAATAAAAAGATGTATTAAAGTGGTTCTCAGAATGTGGTTTAGGAGCCAGGCACAGCGGCATATGCCTGTAACAACATGTTGCTCAGTGGAACAGTGCCTGCCTAGCATGCCTGAGGCCGGGAGTTCAATCCTCAGTGACTGACAGGCAAGTAGACAGACAGACAGACACACACACACACACACACACACACCCTCAGTTAGGAATCAGGTCCCCAAGACTTTTTCAGGGGTGTTCAAACTTAACTTTCTATTCATAAAATATTAAGACCAGGCATATACAGTAGAGTTTTTAAAGGGATGAATGACAAATACAATAAGATGTGTCAGTATTTAAGAGGTCTGCGTAACTCAGTGTATTTTATCAGCATAACCAGTATTTTCCAAATGATAAATGCATATTATACAGTCATACGTAAGGCTTCCAATCACATAATGTTGGAAAAGGCAAAACTATGGAGATAGTAAAACCATCAGTACTTGCCAGAAATAAGGAAGGAAAACAGGAATGGACAAACACAGATCATTTTTAGAACAGTGAAACTATCCTGCATGATTCTATAATGGTGCAGATATATCTTTACATACTTTTTATAAATACAGTCAGAATGAACCTTAACATAAACTATAGAAACTGGATGATAATAATGTTATCAATTATAACAAATGTAAAACTCTACTGTAGGATGTTGATATTGGGGAAAGCTGTGCTTGGAGAAGGAAGGTAGGGAGTTTTTGGGAACTGCTGTTTCCCCTTCAATTCTGTGAATCTAAAAATGTTTTTAAAAGTATCATCTAACTTAAAAAAAATCAGCTAGGCTGGGTACAATAGTGCATGCCAGTAATTCCAGATACTCAGGAGGCTGAGACAGCAGGATAACAAGAATGAGGCTAGCCTGGCCAACATAGCAAGATACCATCTCAAAATAAGTATAAAAAGGACTGGGGATGTAGCTCAATGCCAGACTGGCTCTTGGTTCAATCCTAGTACTGCACAAAATAAAAAATAAAATCTATGTATTTTAATACATTTTATTAGTATCTATCAATTTTATAAAATATTGGGAAGTTTTTTTTTTTCCTGGTACCAGGAATCAAACTCAGGATCTTGTGCTTAGCAGGCAGGCAGGTGTGGCACCACTAGGATAAATCCTCAGCCAGGAAGACTTATTTTTTAAAAATCATACGTGACAACCCACTTTCTGGTCCCCTCCTGTCTTTCTCAGGAGCTTTCCTCTCAATAAAATTTCCTACTCTTTAAAAAAAAAACAAAAAACAATAAAAATCATACATGGTTGGGTGTGGTAGCTCACGCCTGTAATCCTAGCACTCGGGAGGCTGAGGCAGGAGGATCGCTATGAGTTCGAGACTAGCATGGGCTACATAGTGAGTTCCAGGTCAGTCTCAACTACATAGTAAGATCCTGTCTCAAAAAAAAAAAAAAAAAAAAATAATAATAATAATAATAATGTATGTCCAGGAGCAGTGCACATACCTGTCATCCTAGCTACTACTCTGGAGGCTGAGGTAAGAGGATCACAAATTCAAGAGAGCCTGGGTAACACCAAGACCTGTCTCAAAAAACTTTAAAAGACTAGAATTGTAGCTCATTGGCACAGCTTCCCCAGCACAAAAAAGGACCCACATACAACAAATCACCAATACAACAAATGAATAAATAAGAGACAATGGTTCAATGGCTTTTTAAAATCCAAGCATAATTTTTGAGGGATGAGACAGTACTGAAGATTGAACCCAGGCCTTCACATCATGCTAGGTAAGTGCTCTACCACTGAGCTATATTCCTAGCACTTTTAAAACTTTTATTTTGAGATAGGGTTGCCACGTTGCACAGGCCAGCATCAAACTTTCCATTCTCCTGCCTCAGCCTCCCAGAGTGCTGGGATTTTAGGAATGCACCATCACTCCTTATGTGAAAAGTTTTCAATAAAACTGTGTACAATGCTAGGCCTGGCGACTCATGCCTGTAATTCCAGCACTCTGGAAAGCTGAGCCAGGAAGATTTAAATTCCAGCCCAGTGTGGGCAACTTAAAAATTTAGCAACACCCTACCTCAAATTTTAAAAATGAAAAGAATAAAAGGCTAAGGATGTACTTTAGAACAAAGATCCTGGGTTCACTCCACAGTATACAAAAAACTTATATGTATTGTTAGTTGACTTGATATACTGTTTTCCTTTTGGAGGCATTATGAGAAATAAAAGTCAATTCAAAATGAGATAAATTACACTGGAATTTTTCATCAGGCAAACTAAAATCCATTTAACAAAAAAATCAACCTTATTAAGAGGGAGAAATAGCTAAACAGAATCACAAGAGAAAGACAAAAAAGCAGAATCATTACCTCCCACCAAGTCCTTCAATTCGTTCTCTTTCCTTGGGAAGTTCTGGCTTATGGTCCTGTGTCACCTCCACAGCTCTGACAAAATCATCCTTCGGGTCATCCTGAATTCCAAGGACCACCCCTGAGTCACCTACATGAGCTACATACATCTTCATGCCCCGTATGATGACCACACTGGCAGTTGTCCCTGATGTGCTGGGAAGACCTGTCATAGTCTTTGGCCATTCTGCTGCAATGAGAAACAAAATATTTTATTCTTCCAGGTATAAACATTAATACAGTATTAGGATACAAACAACAATTAGCCTGAAGCAGCATTCTAAATATATTCTGGAAATTACTCAGGGATTTCTGTTTGATTAACATGTTAATAAATTTTATAAACAATGCAGCTATAATAAAACTGCCAAAACAGTCAAAGAGAAATTTATTAGAGGACACACTATTTCCATATAACTCTTAGTCTTAACTACATTTAAAAACATTGGTTTGATTTGGTTTTTGTAGTAAGGAATGAATACAGGGCTCAACCACTTAACTATACTCCTGTAGTTAAACAGTTTTGATACTATGTAGTCAGCCATTTAGGATCTGTTTATTAATCTTTGAAGACTTTCCAAAAATCTCTACTTGTTTGTGAACTGTTTTTGAATACTCAAAAATCTGAAAATAGCATTTATTGAGCACTATATGACATTTTGTACTGAGAGCTTTACATGTATTACCTCAATATTTGTAACAAGCCAATCAGGTAAGTTTATCCCATTATTTTCATCTTGCAGATGGGGAAATCAATATTTTGGAATTGAATGAATCAATACTAAAAACTCGCATCATCTGGGTATGGTGATGCATACCTGTAATCTTAGCACTTCAGGAGGCTGACAAGTTCAAGCCTAGCATGGGCAACTTAACAAGAACCTGTCTCAAAATGAAAAACAAGGGCCAGGGATTTAGCTCAGTGGTGCCACACCTGCCTTGCAAGTGCAAGTTCCTGAGTTTGATCCCCAGTACCAAAAAGAAAAAAGAAAAACAAAAAAGGTGGCCAAGGATGTCCTAGCTCAGTGAGGGCTCTAGGTTCAATTTCTAGGAACACATACACACAAACTTGGCCAGAGGAGCTAAGAGACTTGTTGGAAGGCCACAGATAACCAAATAATTACAGAGGAAGTATGGAATTCAGTGCAAAGCTTCTGGGTTCAATCTACAGTAAAATGCATTCAAGGCCAGCAGAACTATGTAAGAAGACTGTCTCAAAAAAACAAAACATTAAAGGACCTGAAGAGATATTTTGCCAAAGACACAAATGGCCAACAAATAATTTAGTAACACTAATTAAGGGAAATCTGAATCAAAACTACACCAAGTCATCATCTCACATCTGTTAGAATAGGTGCCATCAAAAGACAAGAGGTGGGCTGGGCTGGGTGGTGCCTGCTTATAATCTCTGCACTGAGGCAGGAGGACCACTGTGAGTTCAAGGCCAGTCTGGGCTACACAGTGACACTTTGTCTCAAAGAATCAAGGAAAAAAATAAGACAAGAGGTAACAACTGATCTGGGTGTGGTGGTACAGGCCTGTAATGCTAGCACTCTGTAAGGCTGATGCAGGAGGATTGCCACAAATTTGAGGCCAATTGGGCTACAAAGTCAGATCATGGGAAACTTGAACTACAAAGCAAGACATTCTTTCAAAAAAGCAAAACAATGGGCCAGGGATGTAGCTCAGTGGCCCATCCTTCCTCACAAGTGCAAGGTCCTGAGTTCGATCCCCAGAAACAAACAAACAAACAACAACAACAAAAAACCCAAAAAACAAAACAAGAGGTAGTAAGTGTTGGCAGAAATGTACATTGGTACAGCCAAGATAGAAAACAGAATAAAAATTAAAAATAAATACAAAATTAAGGGTTGGGGATATAGCTCAGTGGTTCTGCCGCCTGCCTCACAAGCACAAGGTTCCAAGTTTGATCCTTGGTACAAAAATAAATAAATAAATAAAATTTTAAAAATAAAAGTAAAATAAAAATTAAAAATCGAGCTACCATATGACTCAAGAATCCTATTCCTGGGTACATACTCAGAGAAAGTACAATCAGTCTCTTGAATAGTTATCTGTACCTTCGTGTTCCTTTCTGCATTGTTCACAACAGCCAAGATAGCAATCAACCTAAGGGATGATAGATGGATGGACGGACAAATGAAGTGTGACATATACAAGTTGAGCTTCCCCAATCCAACACTTTGGACTGTGAAATTCTCCAAAACCTGTATCTTTGTGAGCACCAATACAACATCTCAAGTACAAAATTCCAAACCTGACCTATGAGACAGGTTGTAGTCAAAATGCAGGTGCAGGAGGACTGCATATTTAAAACCCACCTGGGCAACTTAGTGAGACCTGGTCTCAAAATAAAAAACAAAAAAGCCTAGCCTGAGAAACTTAGCACCTTATGGAGACCCTGTCTCAAAATAGAAAGTAAAAAGGGACCCCCCCCCTCAGTCATCACTCAATCACTCAACTGATTATGTAGCTCAGCGTGGTAGATTGCCCATGCATTCGATTCCAAGTACCACCACTGCACTCTTGACCCCCTCAAAAAAGATATAGTACAGCTCAGCTGGGAGAGTGCTCACCTACCACATACAAGGCTCTGGGATCAATTCTTAGCCCTGCAAAACAGAACAGGTAGGTACATTTGAGGTTGTAGCTCAGCACGGACAAGGCCCTGGGTTTAATATCCAAAGCATACATGTACACACAAAGCTAAGCATGTGAAAAATCACCTTCAGGAGATACATATATCATATGTATGAAACATATATGCATTCTGCGTTTAGACTGGGGTTCAAACCTCAAGCTATTCACGTCTTTGCAAATATCCCAAAATCTGAAAAAAAACAAAAAACCCAAGACAATTTTGGTCCTACTCAACCTCTACCCACCGTGGAATACCACTCAGTTAAAAAAGAGAATAAATTTTGACATTTCCAAGAAAGATGAACTTGGAGGATGTTATGCTGAATGAAATAAATCAGGCACAGAAAATCAAATACTATATGGCCTCACACATGGAATCTTAAAAAATCAAACACATAGCAGCAGAGATTAGAAGGATGTCAGGGAGTAGGGATTGCCAAGGATTGGGGCTGGGAGAAGTGGGAGATGGCCAAAGGATACAAACCTTCAGCTTAAGACAGTAAATTCTCAGGATCTGATGTACACCACATTGACTATATACTATGCTGAACAGTGTAACTGAAATTGGCTGAGTAGCTCTCATTCTCACCACTCGTTTTGCAAACCATGCGAGGTGATGAGTGTAACTGACTATTGTATCACTTTACAACACATACATATACCAAATCATCCCATTATATACTCTAAAAATAAAACTACAGCTAAAAATAAAATCTCTTCTTCAGAAGAAACCATTAAAAGAGTTTAAAGACTCTTTTTCAGAATGAAAGGATACCACAAAATGGTCCTACAAATCGGACTCTGTCCCAAGAAAGGCAGGTGGGATGGGGACAAAGGAACAAAGCCTTATACGAAAGAAACTCAAAAACTAGCAAAGGTGGTCAATTTCTTTAATCACTGAGAAATACCAAAGCCACAATTAGATACCACTACATGATTATCACATTGCACAAATTATAGTCTGACAATATCAACTGTGGTTAAGAATGTGAAACATATTGTCATCAACTACTGTGAGAATATAAACTGGTAACATTTCAGAAACATTTAGATATTACTTAGGAAAGGTGAAGACATGCATACTCTCGGACTACCCTCTAGGTACACACCATAAATTAATATACCTATTCAAAAATACACTTGACTACTCATGAAGGCTAAAAATGGGCCTACTCAAATACCCTTCACCACGGAGAATGGACCATACTACATATAATGTGTAGGAATCTCAAAAGAACCATGAAATAAAGGAATACATACAGTATGATTTTCTTCAAAAACAAGATGTAATTAGAAAAGTGACAAGACTACTCTGAAAAACAAGCAAATCACTAGAGCTGTCATCATAAAAGCTGGGCTGGCAGTTACTCCTTGATCTATGAGCACAGGAAGAACATACAGGTATGTCTGAGGTATAGGCAATGTTCCCTTTCCTAACTGCATAGTATTCACTTTATACGTATTCATTAAAATGTACATGTATGAATGTTATATCACTTATATGTATGACATGTTATAGTTCATAACTTTTTAAGTTAAAAAAATAATTAAGCATGTCATGTACAGGTGCCAACTCCCCACGTGGAATGTGATCATTACATACTGCAAACACGTACCAATAAAAAATTTTTTAGGGCCTGTGATTTAGCTGAGTGGTGCTGACGCCTATCTCATAGGTGCAAGGTCCTGAGTTGGATCCCCAGACCCCACACAAAAAATTTTTTTAAAGCAACATGAAAAAGGCATCAATTTTGTTAGCACAGAACAGGCTAGAGATAGCTCTTTTGCCCTTCCAGTTCTCCAGTTTGGTTACAGCAGTCATTCCTAAAAGCTCAGCCTAGAGTATACTGTTTCTGTAGCCCTTTCAATTATTTTATCCCTGAACTATCAATAAACCCTTTCTTTTGAATCAGCTAGACTGTTTTTTGCAGCTAAGAATCTAAAAAAAGAAAAAAATGACATCACTATAAATGTATGAAGTGATATCCCAGAAAAAGTATTCTCAAGCACATTGAGAAAATGAAAATTTCCTTGTAGCATTCAAGTAATTTGGTCATTAAAATAACCTAAACCAGTATCTAGAATATATAAAGAACTAAAAAAAAACCAGACCCCCCCCACAATTAAAAAACCCAATTCAAATCTGGGCTTCTGAAATGAATAGATACTTCTCAAATGAAGAAGTAGAAACAGCAAATAAACACATGAAAAAATGTTCAGTATCACTGGTAATTCAAGAGATGCAAATTAAAATAATGCTGAAATTCCATCTCACTCCAGAAAGAAGGCTATTGTCAAGAAATCAACCAATAGAGGCTGCAGATTTACCTCAGTGATGCCATGCCTGTTGATTTCTGGTGTACTCCCCGCACCAAAGGGGAAAAAAAAAACAAAAGAAAAAAAGAAATCAACCAATTACAAATGCTGGAAGGACTGTGGGGGAAAAAGGATTCTCCACTGTTAGTAGGAGTGTGGACTGGTGCAACCACTGTGGAAGTCAGTGTGGAGAGTTCTCAAAAAACTAAAACT